GGGAAGGTGAGCCAAGAGCCCAGGGTGACAGCAGGGCAGGCAAATACGCTGTTGCCCCCAGGAGTCCAGCAGTACCTGAGGGAATGGAGCTGAGTGGTTACTGCTGACGGTAACCGGGGTCATCTAACAGTCCAAATTGCTCAGTGGGTCTGTAGTGATGAAGTCCAAGATGAAGCCAGCAAGTCAAGTGTCCTGGTTTCAATGGGATATAATGAATTTTCCCTTCAGGAAAGCTGCATTTCTGCAAGGACTGCAGCACTCGATTTAGTGGGAACAAAGTAGATAAGACACGTTGTTTTCAGCCAGCACTGGGATGCAGTGATCAAGGTCCTCAGCAGTTTTGATTTAGCCAGGTGCAGAGGCTGGGGGTACTAAAAGCCAAGGCAGCTACCCAAGCTGGCCAACAGGATTATTGCATACCATAAGTGTCACACACACTGTAAACTGGGGAGTTTGCTGAGGATGGCTCTCTTTCCTTGATGGCTGCCACATCTTGAGGGTCTTGCCCGTCATTCTGCTTCTGAGGCCTACTCCAACCACTACACTGGCTGAGTACAACTTTGTGTAATTTCTATTAACACTGTTATTAATACTGGCTTTTTAATTATTATTTTATTAAACCTCTTCCTATTTCAACTCCTGGGTCTTCTTTCCTTTTCCCAATTCCCCTCCTTGGGTGAGGAGGGATCATCAGGTGACAGAAATATCGCCTAAACCATGACATCAAGTCAGCGGGCTGACGTGATGTTGGCAAGATATATACTTCACTACTTTTTAAAATTAATGACAATAATGAATTTAAAGCTCTGGGAATCCTGGCTGTAAAGCAGTCGAGTCCTTATTCCAAGCTAGACTGTAATGTTTCATTTATTTAAAAACATGCAGAAAATAAAATATTTTCTTGTAACAACTGCCAAACCTCCCAGGCAAAGAACACTTCAGTTTAAATGGCCTTTTCAGAAAATTGCTATTAAAAGATGACTTAGTAGCTTCCCCTGAAGACAACTGCCTTGGGCTCAGTCAAGGAGGTAAATTTCTGGTAAAGTGATTTAGTCTCTGAAAAACCCCTTTCCTCAAAGGGTCCATAAAGGAGAGTTTTTGTATTAAAAAGGGGATGTAAGCCTTTTTTGGCAGAAGAGGGCTATGACAGATGGCCTCATTACAGGTTTTTCAGTAGAGTTGGTAGCCTGTAATGATCAAGGGTTTCAAGGGAAGGACACGCTATGGACAGCCACGTGTCTCTCTGTAATGGCTTCTTCTGAAAGATCTGCCAGCTTACTCAAATGCAGGGTGTTCAGGAAGTATGCTGAGTTACTTTATTGCTGCTACTTTGGGATTATTTTTTTCTCTTTTGGCTGAATAATCTTGAATATACACATAACTGTTTGATCTTGAGTACATGTTTGTTATTTTTCATTGTTTCTTAAGAACACAGCTTTACTTTAAGTTTTCCTGTTCTTTCCAATATAAAGTGGAATGGTTTGAAGCCGTGGGAATAATTTCCTAATGTCAGCAGGAAAGGCTTTATATGGTATATAGTATATGGTATATAGTATGTGTTATGTGTCATATATTATATAGTATGTGTATATTATATACACATACTATAAGACTATAATGTGTATGTTATGTGTCATATATTATATAGTATAATAGTGTATAGTATAATGTGTGGAGCATCTCCCTTCTGAGGAGCGGCTGAGGGAGCTGGGTCTCTTTAGTTTGCAGAAGAGGAGACTGAGGGGAGATCTCATTCATGTTTATCAATATTTAAAGGGTGAGTGTCACGAGGATGGAGCCAGGCTCTTCTCGGTGACAAACAATGATAGGACAAGGGGTAACGGACACAAACTGGAACACAGGAGGTTCCACTTCAATTGGAGAAGAAACTTCTTCTCAGTGAGGGTGCCAGAGCCCTGGCCCAGGCTGCCCAGAGAGGTTGTGGAGTCTCCTTCTCTGCAGACATTCAAAACCCTCCTGGACGCCTTCCTGTGTAACCTCATGTGGGTGTTCCTGCTCCGGCAGGGGGATTGGACTGGATGAGCTTTGGAGGTCCCTTCCAATCCCTAACGGTCTGGGATTCTGGGATTCTGTGATGTGTCATGTGTCATATATTATATATTATATAGTATGTGTCATGTGTCATATACCATGTGTCATATACCATATATCCATTTGTGCTTCGGTCTTCCAGTTAAACTAATTCTAGCCATCGCTTAGTTTGAAGTTACGCAGTGATTTTACAAGCTGGTTATTTTTGCCATTGTAGGAAGAAGAACAGCAACTGCTTAAGCGAGAAAATGAAAAACTTCAGGCGGACAAACTACGGAAACAGAAGGAACACAGGGATGCGTTGCTCAGTGCGGCACAGGAGAAGAAAAATCGTCTTAACGAAGAAAAACAAAACCAACTTGCCTTAGAGATGGAGATCTTAGAGAAATCTGCCCAGGAAGACATTGAGGGGAAAAAAATAAGAAAAGTAAGTGCTAGAGGTGTACATTGTGAAGCTGAGGGGTAATACCTTATCTACACTAATTTTGTGGCCCTTAGTGAACTGCCCAGTATAAATGAGATCAGACCCAGGCACTTTTCTCTGAATAAGTTGGTTCTTTTGTTGTGTAGCCTGGTGCCTCTCCTCCTGCCAGCTCTCTGCTGCTCTGAAAAGAACCATTTTCTGTTAAAATTGGAGTGAGTGCTTTAAATTATGCTTTGCAATCAGCAAGGCTACCAGGCTAGACAAAAGGGAGCACTCAGGAAATCCTGGAACCTCGTCCCTCCCTGCTGATTTCATTGTGTATAAGTCACCCAAATTTTTTTCATCCTTAAACTGCGTGGATATAATGGAGGTTAGAAAAATACTTGTTTAATGGAACCGATTTATTAAATATTTCTAACTGCAGAGGGAAGTAAATATTTAACTTATTCTGATTAATTAATGCTAAGAAACAGTTCTAAATCTTTAATAGCTGAATATATAGATGCAAAATATCACATTAAATGTCTTGGAAATGCCATCAAACAATGGATGTGTTTGTCACTTCCTAAATTTAAAACGAGCAGATTGCCCAACTTTTGGGTGAAAACGGGTCTCAAGGTAACTTTGAGAGAGCAGGGAGCTGCATTCATTGCCCTGCTCAATGTATTTAGAAGCTCATGTAGGTTAGGAAAGTTGTATAAACTCTGTTAAACCTTGGCACAGAATTAGAGTAGATGATATTTATTATTATAGTATTTATGGATACAAGGCTTCTAATGCAGGTGAGGCTGAAGTAACTTCAAAAAAAGTCTGTAAAATGCCTGTGTTGTAGGCAGAGCTGTTGAAGGAGCAGCAGAGTTACCTGGAACACCTGGCTCAACAGCTGGAGGAGGAGAAACAGCGAGAAAAAGAAGAGGACGAGGTTCTCAGAGAAAAGATGGCGAAGGTTTGGGCCGAGAAGGCTGAGCAAATGCGATTAGAGAAGGAGGCTAGAAAGCAGCTGCTGAATGATGTCCTGGGTACAAGACAGCTGCAGATGGAGGAGAAGTGTAAGTAGTAACAACTCGCTGTCTGTGCACCACAGCTACCACAGGAATGCAAGTTTTGGCAAAGGCAGAGGGAGCACAACACGCTGGTTTAGGCACACAAGCTGCATGGTTGAGTGGACAGCAATGCTGCTGAATCTGCTTTGGAAACTTTGCTCCTCCAGGCATTCCTTACACTAATTTCCTATTGCGATCACCAGAGCAAAGCTTAGAAAAGTAAGGGTTGCATGAGCAAGCAGTCATTATTATTAATTATACTATTATGATGATGATTATGAAGTTCTGAATGTGAAATCTTTTCTATTCTGAGGGGATGAAAAGCAAATAAGCTGAGAATACACTTGCCGTTGTTTGTGTGCCTCTTCAGAAGCAGCAAAACTCAGGCTTGTTATTTAGGCTGCTTGGCTGGAATACAGCCTCATCGGCCTCTCAAGCTCAGTGCTGTTATCTTCTACAAGTGTTTTTGTTTTTTGTTTCTCTCAGTGCAGAGAAATGTAAGGGAGCAGGAAGAACTCGCTCAAGAGAGGCAGTTATTAGCTGAAGCATTCAATGAACTCAAGCATATAGAAGATGAAAAATATGCAAGGTATTTTTATTTTATGCGATCAATTATTTTCATTGCAGATAAGTCTTTTAAACTTATGAACAGGCTAATTCTCATTTTTAGGTAACGCTGGGTGGGCTTTCTTCTGTTCAGAGGGGTTCTGCTCCAAACTGCTCAACAGCAGCCCTGGTAGTAAATCACTAATTCTGATCTCATCATACAAATCATGGTGTTTCTTTACATATCCTTGTTTTGGTCTTTTTGGACCATAATGTGACTTACGTCCGTCATGTTTATTAACTACATCCCCTCATCCTCTGAGCTGTTATTAGGAGTGGCAGAGGTTTGAGGAGGAGGCTTAATGAAAGGTTTGTTCGTTACGTACCTCGCAGAACTTGCGTGTTCAGGCTTGTTGCTAAACTCCACTCACATCCCTTAATCATATACCAAAACACCAGACTGCTGCGCATAGCACAGCTGCACAGGTTTCTCTTCACCTTACAGTTCCTTAGGGTGAGTATAGTTACTCACAGTAGCTGAAATATTCCTTTGGGTGTCATGCAAATCCTAGGGCAAAGGGCCTAAATTCACTCATCCAATTGATTTCACTCACTTTGTGTCTCTGCCCTTTCTCCACACCCATCCCTGGGAGGTAACCAAGTAGCTCCTTCCACAACCAGTATCTGCTGTCTTCTCTGATGGCTTGATCTCTTGGATATGGTGGAAATTTTGGATGTGCTTCACTCAGTGACACCACTGAATGCCGTCTTTGCCAAGTGCCGTGTGGTTCTACTGTGTTGCATTAGCACTCAAGTCCTGACTGGTCTGTTGGCATTTTATGTGTGTGAGTCCTGCTCAAAAAGTGCCTGAACACGTAGGTAGACATCCATGGCTGCTCCCGAGTGTAGAGAAAGTAACGTATGAGATTTGAAAATGGATGAATTACTACTTCTGTCAACCATTTCCTATGACATTGGTGTAGTGCCACAGCTGGAGCCTGCACCTTGTCTTTCCCATTGGCAGGGATTGGTTTTTTTTCAGTCTAAGGTTGAATGCTAGCAGGTTAAATAATAATAATTTTAGAAGCTGTTTAATCTTTTTTTAACCCACATTTCATGAATAAGCTATTTGTATGTCCTTTCCAGAAAAGTAAAGGAAGCAAAGGAATACCAAGAGCAACTCAGGGCTCAAGTTGCCTATCGACAACAGGCCCGTGATGCTGAGGAGAAAGAGAAGCAGCGAGAATATGAATCTGATGTGGCAGCAGAAAGAGCTTACCAAGAAAAGATACAGGACCTTCTGTCAAGGCTTGATGAGAAACCAGGAAAAACCCACCCTTTCAGAAGAATACTAGCATCTAGCTCTTAAAAATCTGTGATTCTGTGAAAATAACTTACTGTGGTGTTTCAGCTTACTTGGTTGCCTTAAAAAACATTTTTCTAAGGGTGTTTGTGACTGACTTGAGTTAGCAGAGCCCTCTCCGCTGTGATGCTCAAAATATTTAACTGGAAAATACTAGAAACAAGTATTTTAATAGTTATTCTTT